CACACATAGACATAGTTGTAGGTGCCCATCGTACAAGTCTATGCCGAGATGCTAGACTCAACGCCTAGCACAATGCATCCACTGTGACGGACTTTTGAGTCAAAAAGAGAGGCGTGGAATTCCTTGGAAGGATGTCTAGTACCTGAAGGAGCCCCACAGGCCTGCCTTGCCCCTCCTGGCGGGGTTGGGCGCCTGGCACAGGCCCATGACTTCAACAGACCTCACCCAGATGAAGCCAATCTTAGCCTGGCAGAGAGCAGGTGCACACGAGAAGTGCGTTTTCCAACACGTAGTCCTGGGCCAGTGGGAAAAACAGCCCCACTGTTTCAGTGGGACCTCCAAATGAAATTTTTTTATGGCCTGATAAATCTCTTCACCTATACAATAATCCAAATCATATCAAATCAAATGGAATTAGAAAAAGTCCAGGTTTAATGGATGCCTGTGCTCCCGGGTGGCCAAAGGCCACCCAGAGATGAAAGACCATGGAGAGGGGAAAGGAAGAACGGAAAGACCATGTGTTTGTTCTCGGGGTGGGAGGGGCAGTTTAAATAGCCTGTGGGAGTGGTCTTTACCCTCTCTGGGGAGGGGGGGTTACCGTTTGATGGATTTTCTCAGAGATGGAGTCTGGACTGCGGCAACTCCCAGGGAAGGGGGCTTAGGATGGAACTTTCCACGCAAACATTCCAGACTACTTGGATACACGGATGGCAGGGGCCGGGGTGAAGCTTCCAACCAAAAAGATGTGTGTGTGTGTGTGTGTGTGTGTGTGTGTGTGTGTGTGTACATATTTCGAAAAGGGGTCTCTATTATGTAGGTCTGGCTGTTCTAGAACTCATCATGTAGACCAGGCTGGCCTTTTAAGCTCAGAGATCTATCTGACTGTCTCTGCCTCCCAAGTGCTGGGATTAAAGTTGTGTACCAGCATACCCAGGTGCTAAAGATGTTATCAGCTGTAAAAAGTTTCCTGGTAGAGTTATAAGGATCTTTTATGTATAAAAACATATATGCAGCGGGGAGGAGGCAGAAATCTTTAATAATTTTTTAAAAAATTAAAAAAATAAAAGAAAAAAACATATATGCAAACAAAGATATTTTAACTTCTTCCCTTTCTTTTTGTTTTTGTTTTTTTGTTTTGTTTTGTTTTGTTTTGTTTTGTTTTGTTTTGTTTTGTTTTTCAAGACAGGGCTTCTCTGTTAGCTTTGGTGCCTGTCCTGGCACTAGCTCTTGTAGACCAGGCTGGCCTCCAACTCCCAGAGATCCGCCTGTCTCTGCCTCCCGAGTGCTGGGATTAAAGGCTTACACCACCCGGCTTTCCCTTTCTTTTTGTATCCCCTTGATGTTCTTCATTGTCTTACTGCTCTGGCTAGGACTTCACTTATTTACTGAATAGGTATGGACTAGCTTGTCTTGTCCCTCACTTTGGTGGAAATGCATTGAGTTTCTCCCTGTTTGGGACGATGTTGGCTGTGGGCTTACTGTAAATTTCCTTTATTATGTTGAGGAATGTCCCTTGTGTCCCTAGTCTCTCCAGGACTTTTATCATGAGGGTTGTTGGTTTTGTCACAACTTGACTGCATCTGGTGAGACAATCATGTGGGTTTTGTCTTTCAGTCAGTTTGTATAGTGGGAAGAGGGGCTCCTGCAAGCAGGTTGCTGCAGAACTAGGAGCAATTCTGCAGACCAGATAAGAGGGAAGAAAGCACAGTGAAAATCGCCTACTTGCTTCCCATCCCACTCTGTTCACTGAGAGTTCCTTGTAGAAGTGTTTCCGTGTGTCCGTGAGTGACATACAAGGAGTGGGGATGAGCTAGAAGGCCAACATGCTATATTTTTAATTGTATGTTTTATCGATTAATACTACCTAAACAAGCCACTCTAAAAACACAAACACTTTAAATGTGTGTCTATAAATGAAGTAACCTGCTGTCGGTGCACATCAAATGGTGGACATGCCAACTACCCACACGGCCCAGACCCGACTGACCGCTTATCCTGGGCCAAGGGCAACATCTCGACTATGCTCCGACCTTGCATACCAAACAGTTTGGCTCTCCAAAATCAATAAGTCAAATATTTGACTGATCTGTATACTCTAATTAATGAATTCCCATCATAAGGTCACAATGTTCTACCTGCTTCTTCAAGTTTTTCATATTAACAGTCAATATCAGAGACTGGATTTTCCTAGGCTTAAATGTCACTATCTGTTCTCATTGCAAAGGCAACAGAACCATAAATGTGATTCAATAGTGTTTTTACAGAGAAGATGGTGAAATCTGCCTGCTGTGAAAATACCAATAGTTCACCTTGCATTACATTTCTCATTTCAGAGTCTCTTCTTCCACAGGCTGAAAGGGAATGTGCTAGAAAACACTGCACTCTGCAGAAACACACGAGCTCTCCAGACAGAAACTCAGGCTCGTGGCTCTTCACAGAGAATACTGACAGCCAGCCATAAATATACCCCATAATAATCACAAGATTGCTGATGATGACCAGACTGGTCAGTGTATCTCTCCTTGAGGTACTGACCTCAAAACTATTCCACCTCTGTTTGGAGGTTTCCAAATATTCCAATAAGCCTAGCATCCAAATCTGAGGTTCAGAGTGGAGCAAGTAATCACAGGGCAAATAAGTTAATGTTTTTAATAAATAACCAAAGCCTTGACTTTGAACATCCATGAGGAAAACCTTCCCACAAAAACAACCCCATGATTATACTGTAATATGTTCATTTTACAAAGGCAGAGATCAAATCCAGGATATATGATTGCTAATCAAGGAATTTCTGACTGAGTTATATTCCCAACTATACCCTATACAGTTTTTAGTCAGTGTGTCTTACTCAGGGTTATGAGTTATGATCTTTGACAAATATAACCAGAAAAGACTCTTTATAAAAAATAAAGAAAATGTACTTAACAAAATATTCAGAATCAAAGAATACTAATAGAAGAGACTATTCGAACAAGCCAAACACAGGTCTAAATTAATTCATCTGTCGAGCAAGCCATACAGCTTACCTACCAGAAGTTACCAGAAGTCACATGAGTTAAAGGGTGGAGACATAACTCCTCCTGCCAGTCATTCTAACTGTCTCCTATGAAAAGAATGTGCATATTCCATGGGGGGAATAAAGGGTGAAGTGAGGTAACTGGAGCAACTAAGCCGAATACTCCTTAGAGCTGCCCACCAAATATGGAAGAAGTGTATTTCAATGTTTCACTAATCAGGGGTCTAGATTGATCAATGAAAAGTCAGCTAAAGTGATATATTCTTTCTGAATAGGAGACACACAAATCAGACAGAATATGATACCTTTTTATCAAAGAAATGTTTCATGGCTGCAGCCTGAGTTCTAGAATAAAGACAACACAGAACATAGCCCCCAACCAAGCCAAGACAAGCGTGTAGCATGAGTGAGAAAGTACGGGCCTCGGGTGTTGGTTCCACACTGTTGTAACTGGCACACAAATCAAGCCAATTATTTCCTTGAGAATCACACACAAGAACAGATGGCAGTGCCAGGACTGCACCGAGACTCGCGCACATGCCAAAATTAAATGTGAAGTAAAAAAAAAGTCTTGAGAAAATGGAAGATTAGTATTTAGGAAATAAGATCAAACTTTAAAAAGAAAAAACAGACATATCAAGAATGGTTACAATCCTGAAAACAAGAAAGAGTACAACACCTGCCTTCACTGCCAACATGTTCCGACTCCGTCAGGTTCAATGCATCTTTCCAACTCCTTCATTTTTGTTATGCAAACTAAATGAGCCTTAATGGAAAGAGAGAGAAGAGAGGGAGGGGGAGGACCTACTAAATATCTAAGTCAATGATTTTTAAAAATTCTAAGGTGAATCCATATATAGAGTAAGCATTCAGTTCCTAATATATGCATAAAATTATAACTGGGATCAAGCTCTCCTGAGTTAATATTATATATCATAAAACTATTAAATATATATCCCTATATAAAGTCATTAAATATCTTCTATATCATTTAGGAATTCAAGAAAACAGCCAGAGAAGTACAGTAAAAATAAGAAAAAAGACTTTCTCAAAACTAAGTGCCTGAACAAAGAAAAAGAGAAGCTCGGCCTCATAAATTTTGATTTACAAAGTCAGTGGAGCTGACTCCATTATTAATCTCTACAGTCTTCCAAGGAAAGCTTAACAGGCAGAAAGTGCCCGTGAGATACGGGGCACAGAACAAGTTCTTATTTAACTGACCATACAGATCCTAAGGTTTATCATCATTTGCTGTACAGTCGCTCATAGACAGGTCTTACCTGAGGGCTGCACACGTCCCAGGACAGCTATGAACGTGGCCCATCATGTTTTGTAAACAACAGTAATCTCAGAAGGTCAGACACCCTTGACAGAACATTTATACTTACTCATCCCCATTTGGCAGACAAAAAGCTAATGGGGAAGATGAGGTTGGATGGCTATTAGGAAACATGATCTAATTATGGATAAAAGACCTAAGTAGGAATTGACACATTAAGCTGGCATATGCTGCAGAAGTGGATGATAACTCAAGACCATACTGACCCAGTACCTGTTTAAAGACATGCCAAGCCTTCTTAACCAAAGCAGAAGTTCTCACTGAGAAGCAGCTTCCTGGCCACATTGCACTATGACACTTGAGAATAGAGACTCAAAGACCAAAAGCCAAAAAGTTAAGACTAAATAAATAAAATCAAAGAACACTCAAGAGTTCCTTCATAAAATATATACCACAGTGAAGCACTGAATTTTTTAGTAAATTCAACCAACAAACTGGTCCCCTAAACAAAAAGCTACCAAATTAGTCTCAACCTCGTTTATAAATATTAGACACAGAAAAGAACTAATAACTAAAAGATTGCAGGTCATTCCAATTGCATTTTTACAAACTAATAAATATTTTAATATAATAATTTTTTAATTCTTCAAGAATTTCATACATTCATACATTGGATTTTGTGCATATTCACTCCCTTCTCCCCAGGTCTACCAGCCACTCCTTCACTTCTGACAATGGTCTTTTATTTTAAACCCACCAAGTATAATCTGGAGTACTCATATACTGCAGAGTGAAGACTACACCCTCAAAGATGACCGAGTCTCCCTCCCCAAGAAGCCATCAGCTGTCAGCAGGGTCTTGGCTAAGGATGGTAGCCTGCAAGACCACCTGTGCTCTACGCTGGAACAGTAGCTGTCTTTGTGAGACCACCCGTGTTCTATGTTGGGACACTGGCTGGCTTTATGAGACCAACCATGCTCTACGCTGGAATTCTGGGTGGCTTTGCGGGACCACCTGTGCTCTACACACTGGGACACTGGCTGGCTTAAGCACGTGCAGGTCTTGTACAGACAACCACAGCTTCTGTGAGCTCATAGGTGCAGTGGTTCCACCATGTCCAGAAGACACTGCTTCGCTCCAGTCTTCCCCTACGTCTGGTTCTCACAATCTTTCCACCTCCTTTTTGATGGTAATCCCTGAGCCTTGGGGCGAAGAGGAGATGACACAGGACACGGACACTGCTGCTCCATCTGTGGCTGAGCATTCCACAGACGCCTATTCTCTGCATTTTAGCCTGTTGTAAGTTTTTTGTTTTAACTGAATGACAAAACCTCTCTCTGATGGGGACTGAGACACACATTAATCTATCAAAGCAATAAATTTTTAAAGCGCTAACCTTTTCAGTGCCACACCTTACAAAATCAGAGTTCTTCACAATTGCTTAACTTAGTCTTATTTTGTAGTTAATTCATCCGGTATGATGCACAGAAGGAATTTAAATTCAATTGACTCTTTTCAAAGACTGTACAGATTTTCACCTTTATGTGGCAGGCTTTCTATAATGGCAAGTATGTGACAGGTGAAGGTAAATGAAACAAAAATGAAAAGCCCTGTCACGGATCTTACTCCTTCTGTAGTAAATCTAGGCTCAGAGAGACTAGCTCTGAATTTTACTATTCAAGCACTAAATGAATCTGTCTCCTGCACTCTGGTAGCTCCACCAGAGCAGTGATACATATCCTCATTTTAATTAACCTAATGGTCTATTCACCAATCATACTTAGAGGTCTATTTCATTACCCTAAATTAACATTTTCTTTCCATTAAAGTTACAGATGATAAAAAAAGGCATTGCTTCCATGTGCAGGTTACAGCATGTGGAATCTATAGTACCCTTTATTTAGCGATTACAAGCACTTAGAATTAGCAGCAGCCCCGTGATTTATTTACTCACATAGAGTGCTGTTAATAAGGTCAATAAAAAATGCAGTATTTCAAAAATAAAAATATCTATTCATTAGCTCAATGAAAGCAACTGTAAGAGAGGTGTTGACTGACCTCATGTAAAAGGTGTGTGGTTCTCCTTGAGGGAAATGGGCTTGTATTTACATAATTGTACAACCTGACCTGACATTCTGTCTCCTCTTTCTTCTTGCAGTGAGATTTAGGTTCTCAAGTTTAATATAAGACTATACTAAAAAAATTTCTTTAAAAAAACTTTTAAAAACTATTTAATTGTTCAAGAGAACTGTTTAAAACCATTTTCTAGTAAATGTTTACCGATTTAATGAGAAATTATTTGATCATAATTCTTTGACATAAATTCAGCACCTTGAGCTAAATAATCATCTCTAGGCCAGAAATTTACATATGTATCATCCCATTATTGTTTACTTTCCAAATTACTTCCTGTTGGTCAAAATGAAACCATAAAATTCAATCTGATTTTAGGATAGTTTAAAATAACTCTTCACAAAATTCCAATTTAAATAACATTTCTTCCAAAGTATTATTAGACCCAAGAATAATACTTTAAACTGTCCATCATATTCCACCCTCAAAAATGTTCTTCTCTTTTTTCTAAGCCTGTCTGTTTGTCTGTTTGTAAGAGCCTCACACTGTAGCTTAGGTTATCTTAAGGGAGTACTCTGCCTGGCTCAAAACTGCTCTTGTTCAAACTATTCTAGGCAAGTTTTCTACTACTTGGAACAAAAGTAAAGGTTATTTACCAAAGTGGGACAGGAAAAAGCTTAATTCCAGACATTTGAGACCCAAAAGGACTCGCAGCTCAGCACACTAGTGCATGGCTATAATCCTAGCTACTTAGAAGATAGGCATGAGACTGCTGAGCTTGAGGTCAACTGGGCAACACAGAGAGATTGTACCTTCAGAGGAAATGGGTTCTATCAAAAGGGTCAGCATGCTTCAGTTTTACAAGGCATTTAAGGGTATAAATTGTTCTTGCCCAAGACCCTGATGCTAAGAAATTGAGTATCATGTAAAAGATGTGTGTGCCTGAGCATCTGAAGAAAATGCAGTCAAGGAGTTCAACAATACCCGACCTCACTCCACTCTAGAAATAATACCTGACCTCACTCCACTCTTAGGAATCAAGGCTGGACCATCAATGGCAGCACATACATATAAAGCTGTTCCTAGAGCTGGGGGAACCACATTCTGCTCTCTAGAAAGCAAGGACTACAGCAGAATACAGGAAAATGACCCTTTGGGAAATGAATCTGATCTCTATATTTCTTCTGTGAAAATAATAGCCAAGACCAACTCCAGGATGGGGGAGCTCCTCAGGAGTTCAAGCTCCTCCATACTAACATACATGCATAGGTGACAGTACATGTGTGTAATTCCAGAAGTTTATAGGCAAAGGCAGGAAGATCTTAAGGTCAAGGCCAACATGGGCACTATCAAGACCTACTTTTAAGGGTCTGGGGAGACAATATGAATAAAAATAAAAATAAATGAAATAAACTGACACAGTACTCCTTGCATGTGGAAGGTAGAAGCGGGAGGATTAGAGTTTATGACCATCCTCAGCTACACAAAAAGGTTGAGGACAGCCTGGGCTACACGAGAGAGATCCTGTCATTGAAAGTAATTATTTTGCAAGAAAATGTAATGAGGTGAGACTAGTCTTGGTGAGTTATCAAATAATTATATTCTGCCATTCCTTCTCATTCCATCTTCCTTTTGTCCTCAGCATGGTTGAGTCGCCAACATCATGGCTGACATGGTTAAAAACGCATCACAGAGATCTGTGCAGAGTCATGGCAACAAGGAGCGTGGTGGGCAGTTTCAGGGCCAGCAAGCAGCAGGGAAAGCAACATGACTGGGAGGTCTTTCACAGTAAATTCCCTTTCATTAAGCAAATGAGAAAATATAGTAAGAATAATGTGTGATCCTTCTCTCACAGAGAGAATAAGTGAGGACTATAAGGCCAGAGAGAAGGCATTACAAACAACTAAGTTGTTGGGATAGAACAGAGGTTATCAAACCCTCCTCCCCAACATCCCCCCCACACTCACTCACTCACACACACACACACACACACACACACACACACACACACACACACACACACATGCACGCAAGCATACAATCCCAAAAATATATCTTTCTCTCCTTTTCTCCTCTTCTTCCCCCAAACCCCATCTATGTGTCGTTTTGTGGAAAAAACACCCCGACCAAGGCAACTTATAAAAGAAAGCATTTGATTTAAAGCTCCAATTCCAGGATCAGAGTCCATGACCATCATGGTGGGGAGCATGGATGGAGGTAGGCATGGCACTAGAGCTGAGAGTTCAACATCTGATCCACGAGCACAAGGCAGAAAAAGAGAAACAAAGAGTCAGAGAGATGCAGGAGGGGCACACTAACTGGGAATAGTGTGGGCTTTTGAAACCTCAATCCCACCCCCAGTGACACCCTTCCTTCAATAAGGCCACACGTCTTAGTCCTTAAAGGGGATCAAGTACTCAAATACATGAGCCTACAGTGGTCATTCTCATTCAAACCACCATAGAAGTATTATTGAAATTTTGCCTTAGAAGAAAATAGACCTTACTTCAAGATTTCTCCTCAGGAATTTTGATAATAAAAAGATTCAACATAAAGTGAACTTCACAAAGCACAATTAAACAAGGCTTCTAGGATGCAAATTAGTTTTGTAAATAAATACGTCTATGGCAAAATCTTGGTAGGTGGCAGTGATTCAAACTTCAGTATGCCTTGATGTTGAGAGATTTCATGAAGACTAGATTAGTAAGAACATGGGAGATCCCTGAAACACTGAGGAAACTCAACTCAAAAGCACAGGTGAATACTCATACCCACATGTTTCACAGGAAATCAACATATAGCCAAATGTGATCCTAAATATTTCTCTTGCCGTGAGTATGTTATATTTTAAAGCATTGTACAAAAGATGCTTCAAGGCTGAAAACCAACCTTTTGCCAACTAATAACGCTGTTAGGAGACAATCTAACCCCTCTTCTAGTAGCCAAAGATATCGTTTAAAAATGGAGTGAGACCAGGGGAAGAACTGATGTTAAAATTCTTCCATATTCAATCCCAGCACTGGGGGGAAGAACAGAAGAACTGTCTATATTAAAATCAACAAGAAAATGTGGATGTTTTGTAGCTGCTAGTAAATAAAACATCTTTCAATCACTTCAGTCTCAAAAATTTCCACCCTGAAAATAAAGTTTGGGTCCCACGAAACAGCACATTTCTGCACCTCTGTGAGCCAACCACTGCATAGAAGTCATTCCACATCTATGCTCTTCAAATGGCTTCCTAGGAGAAAACTTGAGCAAAAACAGCCAAGTGAACAGAGTAACCAAAGACTAAGAGCAAATGAAAAATAATGACATCACAAGACAACCTTTAATGCTAGACAGGTAAGATTATAAAAGCTATTCATTATAAGGTGTCTATTTTCTATACACACTCCAGTAACAAGAAACAATCTTAAAGTAAGTAAAAGGCAATTCACAAAATAATATTTTTTCTTAAAGATACATATATGGACAGATCTCACTGGGTTTATGTGATTCAATTAAATAGAACATATAGAAGAAAAGCCTACTGTACTTTTTCACTTAAGTTCTCATCAAGAGCAAGAAAAGATCTTTATCAAAAGCAGAGAAACCTTCAGTTGAAATGCAGCAAACGAAAAGGTGTTCCATTACAATCCCTCTGCGTATCACACTGAAGCCTGATGCAGACAGAGCTTGGGGCCCTGAGGGCTGTGCAAGCAGTATCTAAGACAAGTCAACCTGCACTTCACTCACAAACACTCCCCAGTGGTCAGCACTGCCAGTGGGACTCCAGCTCATTATTGCTTATAAGATTCTGACTCTAAAAGAAATGGAAAACCACATTTTCTTAAGACAAATGATCAAACATTTAAATGGGAATTTTTCTCTCTCATGATTGATGATATCTGTAACTCACACAGGATGACAACTGACAAATCACATGATGTCCTAGAAGAAACTTAAGGTCTTTATAAAGATTTATAATATGATGTGGTCTGTTCACCCCTTCACTCATTTAAATGCCCTTCAACCAAAATAATGCTGCTCCCATGGTTTTAAAAATTACAACCCAGTCAATATAGCTGCTGGCAAACTCAGCAAGCTCTGGAATTTAAAGCATAAGAGAAAGAGCAAAACCCATAAAGGGGACAACAGGAAGAAAAGAGGGACCTGAACAAAAGGCAGAGGTAGGAGTTACTTTATTAATGAAAAATGGTTGAATTTTCCCAAAATCTGAATTTCTAAGTGCTCAGCAGAAGAAATCTATCAAGACATTTGAAAGATTCCTATGTTTTAAATGGTGAGTAAGCACTCAAAAAATGTTATCTAGTTTATTGGCACACTAAAAGACTAAGTTATCTTTAAAATGCCCGAGCCACCTTGTCACATGTCTAAATGGAGCTCGGCTCTGCGTTGCTGTCACTAGTTGCTGACTACAATATTCCCACTGTTTTCGCTAATATCTGGCTCTCTTCAGCCCTGGCAGAAGGAGACTTTCATTCGGCAATAAAGAAGAGTCTTTGAAGTGAAGACTAGAGGCAAAGTTCAGCCACGTCAGTGACACCCACTCCTCTGCGGCTCAGGAAGCTCTGCAGGCCTGCAGCCAGATTCTCAGGAGCAGACACTGTACTGCTCAAGGACACTTTGTACAGGAGCCCTATTATTTGTTCTCTTCTTGGGGTTCAAAGTCCATTAGGGTTGATCAAGCTGATTTTACTGTCTGTCTTATTTTGGTGCTGAGGATCAAACCCAGAGCCTGGCACATGATAAGCAATCTTACTGTCAAAAACCAAGCTAAACATTCCACCCCATCATGCTTTTTCCAACATGGTTATTCCATGTAAATGAGGCTTAAGAGGTTTACAAGGAATGGGGTAATTAACGCAGGCAAAAGATTAGTGTCCCAGGAGAGGACAGCAAAATAGGAAGCTAGAAACAACACAGCTCCTGCTGTTGGCATTCCTCTGCTGTCACTAGGAAACCTCAGGAAGTCTGCAATGCTGACACAAATTTATTTGCTATCAAAAGTTTCTTTCCCCTCCACTATCTGGCCAGTTAGCAGAACACAGAAAACATCGAAATTCTGGGTCTCATATTCTAGTGTGCTTAATCTCCCCTAAGGC